ACCTCGCTGCCTCTAGAGTCTCATTCACAATTTTGATATTGCCGATCTCCTCTAACATAAGATCGATACTATGTGCAGCACACGGGATCCATACTAGATACTTTCTCTTATCTATCAACTTGCTGCCCGTAGAAACACAAGTACCTGCATTGTCCATAATAAACTAGACCACATGCTTATCTCCCGCCTCCTCCACTATCTGGTCATATAGTTGTACCAAGAAGTTTACATCCTTCTTTTTCCCTGAGACGTCTTTGCTTGACAAAAAGGCTATACCTTTTGGGGAATAGACCAAGAAGTTAAGATAATCCTTTTTGTTAACTTTATTCAACCAACCATCACTCATGAGAGTAATGCATGTTCTTGGCCAACCTTATTTATATTGTTCAATCCACTTCCTGACTTCCTCTACCTCTTCATCCAAAATCGGCCCACTGAGCTCATATATAGTCGTGAGCTTGACCTCGGGCCCGGCTCTCTAGATTGCGTTGACCATAGGCGGGAAATATGGGCTATTGGATGTATCAAAAGGGATCTATTATCATAGGACCATTTACCAATATATCTGCCCAACATGTTCCTTGTACATTCCATCATATCTTTGAAGGTCATATGTTGTGACATGGGCTTTGAGAGAAATGGGTCTATATGATTATGACCTGCAATACTAGTGCTCGTAGATAAGCGATGAACAATTTCCTTGACATCCGGTGCTTCTGGATATATGTTGCCACTAACCCCTCCATACATATATTCGAGCTGGGCCATACATGCTCGAGCTGGGCCCGTCATGCATGCTCGAGCTGGGCCCACCATGCATGCTCGAGTTGGCCCCATCATACATGCACATGCCATAACCACCAGGCATTCTGAACTCGCTTTCCCTCTGGTATGTTTCGTGCAAGCTCATTCTTGTGGCCATCTCCAAGTCATGATTATATTGCTCTTCTAGATCCATCCCGCTCAATGGTGTATATAAGTCAGCTATCTCCTTATTCATCTTTTGTTTTGCGAATTTTTTACCCTTGGTAGTCTTGAGAATAGTCGTCATCTGTTTTCTTACATTGTTAGGGACACTATTGCATACAGAAACATCTCCCTTAACCCCTGCCAAGTGTTGCTTGAACCTAAATACCCCACTACTAATCATTTTTTGGCAGTAATTACAAATAATTTTATTTGTTTTGTTGGGATCAAGTTTGATCCCATGTTGCAATGCAGGGCCTTCCTTGGAATTTATCATGGTTCAACTGTTTTAAGATGTAAATGGTTAAAAATGAACCTGACATTTCAACATGGAAAATAATCACCAAGTGTAGCGATGATGTGAAGCCATAGTTCATGAAGTTATCATTGTTGTTCATGCAAAATACTTCTACTGACAAATATATTTTAGTTCCTATTGGAAAAAATATTTTATTTATGGAATATTATAGATAAAAATGGTTTATATCAGCCAACCCTAGAATCAAGAAAAAATATATATATACAATGATATAATATCAATAAAAAAAATATTTACAATGATATAGTCATTCTTAATGCCACCAACTCGCCACATATCTTCTTCTTGATGATAAAAGTAAAAAAATGTAAGTTTTATTGAATGATAATTATATATTCATGACATTATTAATTATGTATCAATCAAAATTGAATTATATATCTAGATTCAAGAATATACGTTTTAGTGCATTAATAAAATTGACAATAAAATTAACAAATACATATGCATACCTAAAAATTCGAAGCTATTTTATTTATACAGCATTATAGATAAAAATAGTCTGTATCAGCCAAACTTAGAATCAAGAAAAAATATATTTACAATGATATAGTATCAATAAAAAAATTTATTTACAATGTTATAGTCATTCATAATGCCACTACATGTAGACTCGCCACATATCTCATTTTTGACAATAAAATTAAAAAATACAAGTTTTTATTGCATGATAATTATACATTCATGGCATACTTAATTATATATCAATCAAACTTAAACTATATATCTAGATTCAAGAACATACATTCTAGTGCCTAAATAAAATTGACAATGAAATTTAAAAATACATATGTATACCTAAAAATTCGAAGCTATTTGATTTATACAACATTATAGATAAAAATAATATGTATCGGCCAAACCTAAAATCAAGGAAAAAAAACATTAATATGGTATAGTATCAATAAACAAATTTATTTACAATGACATTGTCATTCATAATGCCAGTACATATTGACGATAAAATTAAAAAATACAAGTTTTTAATTTTGTATCAATCAAATTTTAAAAAATATAAGTTTTAAATTTTTGCCTCATTCAAAATGCATGATAATTATACATTCATGACATACTTTCAAAATGATTTTAGTGCATTAATAAAATTGAAAATAAAATTAAAAAATACATATGCATACCTAAAAATTCGAGCAACCTTTGATTTCTTGCAAATTCAAGCAACTAATATTGCTTAATCTCACAAAAATCCTACAATAGCTTATGAAGATCAGGATTACGAGCAAAAGCCCTCTCTGTTTTCAACAAAAAATTCGGCCCATATCGATTTAGATCTGAAGATTGGCGGATTTTATTTTTTCGTCAACTGTTATTCACAAAATCCCTCTGATTTCTTGCAAAATTGATCAAATCAAGCAAAAAGGCCACAATAGCATATGAAGATATGATTTTAAAAAAAAACCCTCTGTTTTCAAGAAAAAATTCATCCCTTATCGATTGCGATCTTAAGATTGGCGGATTTTCTTTTTCTGTCAACTGTTCTTCACAAAATATCTGATTTCTTCAAAAATCGACCTTCAATATTTGCTGAATCACAAAAACAATAACTACAATCATCTGTAGAAAACAATTTCCTTCAAAACTCCTCTGATTCGAACAAAACACAATCAATATTTGTGACAAAATTGAAAGAATGGAGGATTTAGGGTTTTTCGTGAAAAACACTACAAATTTTGTGATTCAATCATCTTAATTCATTGTTTTGTAATGAAAAAATGAGTAATTTCTCACAATAATGCAATGTAAAAGCTGAAATTGATCAATAATTGAGAAAAAGCTGCAAATCTACAAAAAAACTCATGACTTTATTTTGACATTCACTGTTCATCGCGTTTTTTCCGCCAACTCGGACGAGTCACTTTTGCAAACCGGGCAATTCGTGTCTTTTATGGCAAAACAATGCGTCCTTAGCGATTCCCGTGTGGACCTGCGTGATTCCGGGTCCACTCACCCTTTTTTTAACCACTGCTATCTCGAACCTCTCCCTTACAAGTTATCCCATCTGGCCTCCCTCTCCAATTATCTCTCTAGATTTCTATCACCTCTCTCTCTCTCTCTCTAGATTTTCCTTTCTTCTGTTTGCTGCAATTTGAATCGTGTCCTCCCTCACTAGGATTGATAGTTGGGGGTGGAAGAACTCTATATGTGGGCCTCAATGCTACAGGGGCAAAGGTGAAGCCACATCTAGCTTGGAGTCAGGCCAGGGGGCTTGAAAGGTGGTGGGGTGTCACTTTGGAGGGTGTCTCATGGGGGAGGGGGGCTGATATGTGGACCTCAGAGATATTGTGGCGCAGTGTGAGAGGACCAACATTGGGGAGCCCCCTTTGAATTTTGCTGAGATCAAAATTTGATGGTTTGGTCTTGAGAGGAAGCCCCTTTGAATTTCTAGCAGGTGATTCTTAGCAGTCAGTCTTGGTGTCTCATCTTTGGATTGAAGTGAGATCACAGTTCTTTCATTGTCCAGCTTTACACAGAAGATGGAATAGGGAGTTTGCCATTGAATTCTAATCCATTTGGCGATACTTCAGGTCATGGCAGGGGGATTTAAAGTCCCGACTGTAGATCTCATCAGAGCAAGCCTCTCCTCTATGATGTGCTCCATGACTGCGAGTCAAATGTTTGCCTCTTGAAAGGTCTGAAGACGGCAGGAGGTTAAAATAGAATAGACTAAAGAAAAAGAGGACAAAGGGAGGTGGGGTAGGGGTGTAGGGGTTTGGGGGCAGTTGGTATGGATCTGAGAATGTCAAGCCATGGGTTTGGGGGCTTAGATGGGAAAATGGTGATGGCCTGGGATATTTTGTAAAGGGAGAGGGTGGAGAGAGAGAGATGATAGAAATCTAGAGAGAGAGGAAGATGGAAAAGAGGAAGATGGAACAGAGAGAGGTGAGAGAAACTAATGCTCAGCCAAAAACGATTCGATTTTTCTTTGGCTCCAAATTTGTTTTTGGGTGTAGCTAGCATACGGATGCATCCGTAGCTGTAGAGGTAGGGTGCAACTTCAAATTTTATCATGGTATATAATTTTGAGGTAAAATGTTTTTAAGATCTCAAAATTTATTTTTATATTTAATTATAAAATTTTAAATTTTAAAAATAATTAAAATTATATATATCTATAAACATATAAAAATCTTGAAAATAGATGGTATAGAATATATATTGTAAAATGCACTATTTTTTAGACTTAAAATTTTTTTATTTATTATGGTCATACATCTTGATGTCGAGATGATCAAAGGGCTTTTCAACATTAAAACTACATTTTTCAATGGATTTTTGAGATACATTTGTAGTTATACATTAGAAGGTTGCTCTTTGTATAGGCTTTTTCTTTTATTTTTTACAGCGTTGAAAAGTGGAATCTTTAAAAAGGACTACTCTGCCCTTTAGTGTTGGTCATGTAAATTCTTTGTAAAGGTATTTAAGTCATTTTGATATTCATAACCTATTCTAAATGTCACCAATGAGTTTTTATGGTTATTAAAGTGTTAACCATAGAATAACCCATTTGTATTATATAATATATATTTTTCTATTTATATATTTATTATAATGTAATGCATATATATATATATATATATATTTATATAATATGATATATTTATGCAATATATATTTTATTTTATAATATATAATATATTTTATTACATAATATATTTTACTTATATAATAGCTATTTATAATATATAATACATTTAAATCAAGTTACGATACAAGTTACTAAACATATAAAATTCATTACACGGCTTTTTAATCGTGTTAAAAAAACATGATACAACAGAAACTTTGCAAAATATCTTCTTGTAAAATGTTTGCATATGTAAGTATTTTTTCTGGGTAAATAGTTAGGCCAGAACAAAACATGCCCTTGATTTAAGTGTAAACTTTGGGATGCTAAAAATTAATAATAATTACAATCCTTAGGACACTTTCGTCATTTTATTAAATCCGTGGGTAGCATGGTCAACTAATTTGAACTTCAAAAGGGAATTAAATTCTTTTAAAAAAAACCATGGACCGTCTCATCGGTTCCTTGCATGTTAACTTTATCCCAGTTCCCCATTAAAAGCCCAACCATTTCAAAATTCAAATACAAAGTAGATACATTTTAAGGAGTAAAGCAGCAAACCCACGTAACCATGCCCCCATTAATAGCCTCCAAGCCATTAAAACTTCCTCTTTCTTAGGCTCCCAGCATTCATCTCTCTCTGCACCTTCCCTATCAATAACTGCAAAACAGCTCCTCCAAGTAGAAGGTAAAGAAAGCAGGGAAGAAGATACAGGGGCAAAAGCATGGGTTGTGTATCTTCAAGGTTAACAGGACCAGAGCTAGGAGGCGATGATCTCAAAGGCCACATTGTTTCTCTCACCTCCACAACATATGGCCTCGTCACCCTTGATTACCCATCTCCAAAACCATCATCCCCTTTTACCCTCACATTCGCGCCTAGTCTCCCACTAATGTCCTCATCACCCATTCTTAACAATCCTGAATCAGAAGTCATCAACACCTGGGAGTTTATGGATGGCCTATCCGATACCGATAGCTTCAGGTTCTCCCCCTTACCTGCACTCTCACCATCTCCTTTCAAAACCCCGAAAAGTGGTGGAAGTTTAGGCAAAGAGAACGCATGCAACCCCTTCTTGGCAAACTCTCGGTATCCACCATTTCAGCCAACAGAGATCCTAAAGGACTCGAACAGTGGCCCTCTCTTTGATCCCGAGCTTCTGGCTTCCTTGGAGAGAGAAATGATAAAGGAGAATCGAGAGAATGAGGGATCAAAAACTAAGAGAGAGAAAGGGGGCAAGAACAAGGGTTTCCCTGAAAATGCAGTGGTTCTTTATACAACAACATTGAGGGGAATTCGGAAGACCTTTGAGGAATGCAATAGGGTTAGGACTGTGCTTGAGGGCCTCGGTGTACAGTTAGTTGAGCGTGATATTTCAATGGATTCGGGGTTCAGAGACGAGCTCGCTACTCTCATGGGTGGAAAGCCGATGGTCCCTAGAGTCTTTGTTAAGGGGGTTGACATCGGTGGATCAGAAGATGTGCTAAGGATCCATGAGGAAGGCCAGCTCGTGAAATTGGTAGAAGGGGTGCCCAAGGCTCGAGCCACAAGGACTTGCGATGGGTGTGGTGGGGTTCGTTTTGTGCCATGTTTTGATTGTTGCGGGAGTCGTAAGATTGTTGAAGAGCGAGGGAAAGTGCTCAGATGCTCTGAATGTAATGAGAATGGGTTGATTCAGTGCCCCATTTGTTGCTAAATCTAACCTTTCCCAAATAGCTACAATATGGCACTGTTAAAATGGAGCCACTGGGTTTGTTTTCCTTTGCCTTTTGTTTCTTTTCTCATAACTTCGTATCAGGTTGTAACTCTTTGAATTTTAAAGTGCACATCATTGTAAGATAATATCATATCACATTTAAACTTCTTGTGATTTTTGGTTGTGGGATTTCTGGATCATGTACAAACACTTTGACATTGTTTATTGCGCTTTGCAATTCAAAATTCAAATGAATCTTTTGAGAAAGCTGAAAGTATTGTCATCAAATGGGCGGCCGATCTGGCCCAATTTTTTATGCACGGTCCAGCGGATGGTAGAGTGTGGAGGGTGCAACATTTATGATAAAGATCAACCATACTTTCCTGGGAGGTTCAAATATCCTCATTTCAGGATGGGCTTTAATGTATAGGACCCGGTTTCCCTGAGTCCATGTAGAAAGATGTGCCTCTTAAAATCTATATGCCTTTTAAAATTCTATTCTTGAGATGGATTTTTGGACTTAATTTTTAAATACATGTAATTTTTAATATGGACATCGTGAATATGAATAAATAAATAAATTTTAAAAAATTAAAGTAATATTTCTATTAGGAAAACACTTGCACTGTTAGTTTCAATTTTTTTAAATGGACCCACCTATTTGCATCTATTGTAAGATGGATGCTTTATACATCTAGACAGCATTTGTAGAAATGTGGTCCAGCCCCCATAAAACAATTTTCCTAATGCATTGCACCCAAGTTTATTTACTCGGCTCAGGCTTGGGATTGCATGAGCTGAACAACTCGGGTGAGTTTGAGTGCTCTCCTGAGTGGGCTTACAAGCCCAAAAAAGGGCTAAAATTTTTGAGAAAAATGCAAGACAACTGTTGAAACTTGTGTAGTTTTTGTTCAAGCGTTGTATACCACTTGGTATACGTTTTTGTTCAATTTGCAATTTTAAAAATTAGAATCTTACCCAATATAAGTGTCAGATTGGTGATTTTGATCCAGCTTAACGGATTTCACAGCTTGTTCGGATAACTTAAAAAAAAAAAACAGTTAAAACAATATTAAGAATAATAAAGAAGGGCCCCAGTTCTAACTCGGATCCCCCAAGACCTTGGTCGAACTAGGTAAGGTAAGTCTATTTTGAACAGGCGACTGTGGTTCAAATACATATCTAACAAAAGTTGAATATAAAATACAGGATCAGTGGATGTTGATGTAGCGCACCGCATAGGCCTTAACCGTTTGGCCATTTCCCCTTCTCAAAGTCTTTGTAAGATGTGGTTTTGTTTGTTACTTTTACGGGATTGTTTGATCTTTCCATATATTTTTTTATTGAATCCAATGTTTTAGAAACGCCAGGAGGTGCCTAGCCGTATATATTTTTTTATTCAATCCAATGTTTTAGAAAACGCCAGGAGGCGGCAAGCTCGCCAGGGGGATACGGGCCGCCCAGCATTAGGGGTTCGAGGTATCCTAAAAAACTGTTTTTTAAGTGCAAAATTGTGCTAAACAGTTGCATATTGAGACATTTTTAATGTATTTCTTATGCTCAATCAATCAAAAATCCAAAGACAAATCAAGGTATTTTAGATTTGGAGCATGATTTAATAATACATTAAGAAAAATAATAAATACAATCCAATGTTTAAATTCATTACTAGGGTATTAATACTATTAACGCAATCACAAGGGAAATATAATAATCCTGTAGTCACAAATTTACAATTCATAAATTGTAATCCAATTAATTAATACTCCATATTGAGAGCACATGGAAACCAAAATACAAAGAACATACACTTGACAATGTACGATAATCTTGACAATACAACTCAAAATTCTTAGACGTTAGAGCACAGAAGGCATTTCAAGCCTCAAATACACCCACATCAATAAAATTACAGCCATCAAGCACTTCTTATACACTTTATATAAAGAGGATGGAACTCAATTTTGGTCCCTTGTCCAAGACAACTTAAGACTACACAAAGGAGATCAACGTACAACACTTGCATGAGGTGTCTTTAAAACTTCAGCCGCATGTGAAAATACAATGCAAAATTATTTATCATATGACACGGTAAAACTCATCAAATCATTATCTATGTATCAAGAATACAGAAAAGCTCAATTATACAATGCTACATGATCATGTGAAGCCAATTGGAGCTCTCGGGTGCCAGGCTCACGACCTTAGGTTTTAGTTATATGCCATAATGCTACATGTGATGGTATATCTCAAATTTCGGTTAAATTCATTGCCGGCTTCACTTCTTCGAAACACTCATTTCTTAAAACTGGGAGTCCTTTCTTTTTGTTTTATGGAAAAAGAGAAAAAATGTGTGTGGTCAGCCTTGGTTTTGAAGTCTCACGACAACATAACCCTTTTTTAAAACCGTGGTACCTTTTATAACGAGTAGACAAGCGTGTGATGTGCCCCATAGGGTTCGTGCGCATGTGCGAACGAGGGTGACCCCGATGCCCACTAGGATAAAGGGCGCAGTGCAATATGTGTGGTTCGAACAACAAAATAAAGTTTGCGCATTGTTCGCAAAACCGGCCGGTTAGATCGGAACCGCCAAGGTTCCGACTCCGATTAGGACCGGTTTTAGGGTACAAGTAGCCTAGGGTACATGCCCAAAATTTTTTCGGACGAAAACCAATCAATTAGAGATGAACCGACCATTATTTAGTAGAACTGGCCGGTTTTAAGCTAACCGGACCGGTTTGACGATATTACAGGTGTTTTTATGAAATAACTTTAATGTATCCATTATGGTTGTTATTTTGAAATTGTGGCCGTTATTTGTAGCAGACATTCTTGAATCCAAATTTTCACTTTTTTTATTCTTTTTCGTGCCTTATTTTATCTTTTTTCGTGATTTATTGGCGTAAATCGCTATCTAGAATATATAAAACAATAAATTTGGATTGAAACATCAGGAAAAAAAGAGTTTCTTGGATCAAAATGGTAAACTTTTTAGGTTTTTGAAATTTCTGATATTCTTTCAATAATTTATTCAATACCTAATGGTTATTGAAGAAATTTACCGTGTTTGATAGATAATTTAAGTATTTATTAGATTCATGTTTCAATTTGTTCAAAAAACCCGAATATTATGGGTTGAGTTTTGGCCCGAAAAGCTGCTGCTCAAAGAACATGTGTTCGATCCAAAAACACGGATTTTTGATCAATTTATTGGGGGTTTTTTATCAAATTGAGTTGTGTATTTTGATCATCAAGGCTTAATCTCTCAAATAAAATAGGTATGTCTATTTATGATTGCTTAAATGTTTTTATATGATTTTTTTTGTTGCACCCTATTATGAAAATTTTGTAGATACGTGATTTCTGCCATTTTTTCATTTAAATTTAAAATACCAAATATTTTTTGATAAGATTTGGTGCGTTTGAAAGATGATCGAAACCTTTACAATGCATGTATGTTTATTTGTTCGATTATCCAAACATTGAGGATCGTTTCTTGCTCGAAATGTTTCTCAATTTTAGTAGTTTTTAAAAATCAAATTTTCAAAAAAAAGTATTTTGTTTAATAAATTTATGTTTTTTGATGAATATGAGAAGGAAGTGTTTTTCTATTTTTCTTAATAAAATTATTTTTAATAGAATTATGATTTTTTAATAAAATTACGTTTTTTGGATGAATATGGGAAGTCTTTTTCTATTTTGCTTAATAAAATTATTCTTTTTGATAAAATTATTTTTTCGATAAAATTGATTCTTCTTTTTGATAAGTGCATGATAATGTCGCTCGATCTTTTGCTCAATTTTTTTTTAATTATGTGTTTTTTAAGTGCATGATATAGTTATATATATAATGATGGAAATGGGACATTTTGTATTTTTAAGTACCTGCAAAAGTTTTGGTTGCCATAAGCTCAATGAAAGACTTCGCCGTCATCTTGTATGTGCTTGATTCTTCTCTTTTTCTTTTTTTTCTTTTTTTTTTGATTTTCTATAAAAGTTTTTGGAATGTTATGGAAAGAGTATTTAAAAGATCAGCCGATTTTAAAAAAATCGATCGACTAACTTGGGATTGGTCACTGGTCGATCCTGATCTGGCCTGATTCCAGAGAGAGAGAGAGAGAGAGAGAGAGAGAGAGAGAGAGAGAGAGAGAGAGAGAGAGAGAGAGAGAGAGAGAGAGAGAGAGAGTAGAGAGAGAGTAGAGAGTAGGAGAGAGTAGAGAGTAGTAGAGTAGTAGTAGTAGTAGTAAGTAGTAAGTAGTAGTAGTAGTAACGT